ACGAGAGGAGCGTGGGTTTCGTTTCTCTCTCTCTCCTCCGGCATGGCTTCGGATCCCTTCGTCCAGAATTCCAACTAGTGACCGCCAGCAACTCAGGGAATGAGCCTTTTATAAGGTGGTCTGGGGACACAATCATGATTTTATAACAAAGATGCTGCGGAAAAGCACACGCCATGGCACAGCCTCACAAACCGATTCCTGGAGCCCAACCTCCCTGCGTATTAGGGCCTATTAGAAGATTATACAGAACCATACGACAAAACAACACGAACGGGCTACTGAACATGTGTCAACTGCTCAAAAAGTAGGAAACGGACACCACTAGTTTAAATCGCTGTCTACTATAAATCGCTCTACTTTAAATCCCTAGCGACTGTACTGCAAGAAGCGCTCATCGGCTACAAGATATAAAGGGGAAAGGCCGAGCTGGCCGATCAGAGCGGAACGGTGTGTTTTCGAAGAATTTGGGTCTGTAAACGGCTGGCATCTAAGTGGGATATTTCACAGCAAGAGAAAGCTCCCGGGGGCGCCTCTGCCCTCCTCCTCGGGCTGGTTCTGACCCGCTGGCCCATCCCACCGGCGCGTCTCCTGACTGCCGGTACCGGCGATGCACCCACGGGAGACAGAGCGATAGGGAGTCGCCACTCTCCGTATCATGCGAATTCCAGTGACGGACGTCAGAACTGTCACTGCCGTAAAAGCTGCCATCTGCAAAAACGCTCCTCCAAAGTAAAACTATCTGCAACTGAAAATAATGGAAAATAGGCTGACATGGACTATGTTCAAAGTAACCAGGCTGTAAAATGTTCTGCTAGGTTAATGAAACTGTGGCTATTTTTCTTTTCTCTGTTTAAAAAAACAAACAAACAAACAAAAAAAACTACTTTTCTAACTGCCCCAATACACAGGCTATTATTTCCCGAAGGCAAGTGCTAACGAGAGGCTGGAAAAAGGGCTCCAATCGGGCACAGCTAATAGTAACTCTTTTCAGTATATGCTTTTTCTAGAAAGAATGAAAATGAATCTGGAAATACCCACGTAGCTCAGGACAGACTGACGGAAAGAAAATATATGTGTGCCTCATTTTAATGAAATCCAATTATCAGAGGAGATTCAGCCCAAGTTCCTCTCACAGAAGCTACATTCACAGCACTGACTCCCTGGCAGACAATAACAGGGGAGGGAAAAACGCTGGTCTCGGAATTAACTAAGCCAGCCACCCCCCCCCAAAACCCCAAGCTTAATTTTTAAGGGGCTCCTACAGCGTGATAACTCTACAAATAAAAAAAGGGAAGAGGGAACAAGGGAAACGGAAGTGATGACCGTTTAAGAGCTGAGAAACGACCCACGGAAAAGGCTGGAAGCATGGAGCACAAACCACGGCTAAGCGCGTCACCACGCCAGCCCTGCTGCCTCTGCTGACCTCCCGAGTGGATTCGGAGTGTAAGTCAAGGTGTCCGTCGACATTTCGCAGCTGGCGCCCTGACTACCTTGGAGAACTCAATTCTTGATCATCCAAACCGGGCACAGAAGTCAGAAACTGAATTTCTACTCATCGAATGAGTTTCTAGAGGGGATGAAGACAAAGCTTGCTCTGATGGTCTGACTAACTTCTCTCCTTTCTGCTTCTCTTCATTGCACTGAATCTCAGTTACTCAGCTTCAGGGAAAAGTACAGACTACCTTCTGAATCTAGATGGATCCACGAGGAGTAATAAAAATGACACCTCTGAAGCCCTATTTTATACAAATGACACTGGGATTTTGATGCTGATAGATTAAATTAGAAACAATGTAACAGCAGAAAAAATATTACAGAACTTTAGAACTCATTTTATGTGATTTTTTTTTTTCATCTAGGATGTCTTTTTACTGGTCCTGAGGCTATCAGCAAAAGAGTTACAGTTAGACACAACGTGGAAAGATCGAAATATTTACAACAGTGAAGGCTAAAGGTAAAACAAGTTTCGATGTATAAAATACTAATGTTCTAAAAAAAAAAAAAGGGGGTTCTTCTGGGACAATGTCAATGTGACAACTTTACTACAATTCACGACACAGGTTAGTGTTGGCATCTGAACCAAACGAGGTGACGGCCACAGGAAGGGTATCGAGACTGAAGAAACTGGGGTTTTGCCATCCCTAGAATTTAAGTGAGGCTTCTGATCACTAGACAACTCCGTATGCAAGCACGAACATTTTGGGAAGTAGAGGCCAGACTTCTCATTAAACAAGAGAAATTAAACATATCCATTTAACTTGACTCTCTATGAAACCCTAATAAAATGACAAGAACAGATTGGAGAAAAACTCGAAAGGCCCAAGAAGACAACCACAGAGTAGAGACGTCAGTGAACTGACAGAAAACGGAGGGCGGATGGAGAAGAAGTAGAGTCCAAGGGCCTGTAAGGGACAAACAAACAAACAAAAAAACAAACGGATTCAACCCTGAAGGCTCAGGAATATTTTTCTGAGGGAGGTACACATCTAAAAACACAGGTCCGCAGGTCTGGTTATGAGCCCTCACAAGGACCATTCTGACGGCCGGGCACTCAGCCTTCTATTTGACTGCAGGTTTAGGCTCCTCGCCTTGACCGGCCCTGACCGCCTCGACCGGGAGGCAGGATCTGAAAACCTAGGAGGACATCAGTGAGGCACTGAACGGGAGACAGAGGGTTAAACAAAGGCCGGAATTAAGACTCTCCTAGACAGAGAGGAGTCATCCTTCCTGGAAAACGAACAGCCCCAGAGGAAAGTCTCCAGACACTGGAGCTTTTGGGGAAGGGATGGGAGGTGTGGACGGGGAGCTATTTTTTTAACGCCTGCTTGCCAGGGTGTCATCCTTGGTAGACAAGCTCCACCCACAATACACGAAGCCCTGATGAGCTTTTTAGAATTCCACTTTTATTATAAATGGGATTTGAGGAAAGCTTCTAACAGGAAAAACAGTTTAAAATGGGAGAGGGGAGGAACTCAGGTCTCAGAAACGATCTGGTAGCGTAAGAAAAACTCAGCAACAACAAAAACTATAAATACTATCCTGAGAAAAACAAGACATCGCTGCCATGAAACAAGATCAAAAAATGAAAGTAACATTTTTTTAAAAAAAAATTGCAACAAGCTGGACAAAAATGTCAAAGAAATAGTCTACAATGTAGAATTATAAAGACAGAGGATCAAAAATGGAAGAAAAAAATAGAGAATCAGTCTAAGTGTTTAAATATGCAACTAACAGTATGTCAAAAACGCACAGAGAAATTACATTGATAGGAAAGAAATTATCCAAATATAGCATCAGAGATGTTCTAGAACTTAGGAAAATGAATCATCAGTCTCGACAGGTGCATAAATGCCTAATGCAATAACAGGAGGTATGAGACCAAGACACATGAAATGTTGGAACACTGGTGACAGAGAACATTCTAGAAGCGCCCTCCCCCCCCACTATATTTGAAAGGGAGAAGAAAAGCCACATAGGGAAGTGATCAAGAATCAGAATGGCATCAGGCCTCGCGACAGCATCCACAGAAGCCAGGGAGCAACGGGGTGATGCCTTACACGTTCCGAAGGAAGGCCGTACGCTGGGATGTACATGTAGCTACGACAATCACCAGGACACCTTAAATACACGAGATCCCAAAGTCTATCTCCTGTGCAAACTTCCTAAAGAGGCTACTACAGAATGTGTTCCACGCAGCCGGGGGAGCCAGGAACGAAGGCAGGACCTGGAAAAGGCGAGACGAGAAAGGACGGCCCAGGGGACCGAAAGGGCCGAGAGCAGAGGGCGGGGGGCTCCGGGGGACGCCACCGGGAGCGGAGTCTGCGTGACCGGCAGGACGTGGTGGAAACGCATCCTGAGAGGTTCGTGGTTTTTCTCGTTCTGATAAAGACTGCGGGGAGGATCGACGGAAATTAAGGACACGGGAAAATAAAGTGGCGGTGAATTCCACGCTGGGAGCACGGGAGGGAGTGAGGCTGGGCAGGGAGGACGGCAGGGACAGAAAGATATTTGTTGTCGACCATAAAGGAAGTCGACGGCGTTTTTTTAACGGCAGGATTTTTAAAACGGCCGTAAGTATGAGCTTTTTATTAAGAATCTAAGGGTAAATTCCAGAAAACATTGCGGGAGGAGTAATATAAGTAGCCTCCCCTGGGGAGGGGCAGGATGGGGACTTCTGATTCCCTGTTAGAAGCTTTACACTGACAGAGGTGATTCTCAAAGCACGGGGAAACGTACATGTCGCTTTAACCGCATTCCTCCAATCACGGAAGAAATCTGTCCCATACGTCATAATCGCAGACTAGTATTTAGTGGCACACCCAATTTGTTCGTTTAACTTTGTTACCTGTACTATCATATATGTGTGTGTGTGTGTGTGTGTGTGTTTTTAAACACTCACCATGGATCCACCTAACAGTATAGTATAATAGCATGAACTACCATGATAAGTATATAACACAGACTTGTGGTGTTTTCTGACAATTCGGAAAAGATTCTATAGAAGGTTGTCCCAAAGTTTTAATAAAGTATAATTACTAGAAGTACCTCCACAAGGACGGGCATGTATGTTTTCCCTGCATTTTGTACTCTTCTATCTATACTAGTGGAACGAAAACCCTACAGACACACGGAGGTGTTTATAAAACTATGCATCTGTACAAGTGGACCGCTCATACACAGACATTTAAATAATTCTCAAAGAACCAAAAGATCATTTGTTCTAAGCCATATGTAATTTTGGTTATGAGAAAATTCTGACACAAAACAGGAAAAGTCAGGCTGACAATCTAGAAACCGTTCTGTCTCTTAGACTCTTAAGACGTCAAGCAGCTTTGTTCTCTTCCATTAAGGATACTTTTAAAATTCTAAACTGAGTTTCCTGGCATTAAGTCTACTCATGCAAATGGACAAGTTTTCTTTACTAAACTATGAAATGCATTCATCATTTTTAAAACAGTTTCCACCATAACTGCGAAGGCTCAGCGCCAGTGGATACTTACATTCACTAGTCCAAAATAGTGCTCATTCACCGGGAACTGCTCTGGACCAATCTCTTTCTCTAATGCCGAGGCATTGGCGCCCTACGAAGTGAAAAACACAAATCTTAGTATTTAGAGGATTTTTATGACATTGTCACGATCATGTAGGCATTATAAAGACAGACATCCCTTTAAGAAACTATGTTCCCTATAACTAACATTCTTGAAAGAATATAATACAAAGGAGAGTGAAGAATAAACAAAGACTTTTAATAATACGACTCGAAACGAGTTTGCAGAAACGTTCTTAGGGAGCCAAAGCCTGGCTCCTTTTTTCTAAGTAAGGAATCAAAACACCAACAGGAGCTCAACCTCACAGCAGCCATCGTGGAGAGCTGAAATTGCGTGAAATTAAATATCCCTGCGTTCAGTGGCCTAACGATCGTTTGGGGGTGTAGACCTGAGAAATTCTCACACAGAACTAAAGGTGACAGAAATGTCTGCTGAAGTATCACTGATGACTCCACAGCTAACAGTAATCTACACGGTCTATAAAATATGACAGCATATTATGTAGTAGTCAGAATTAACAAACGAGACGTACGTACAGAAACATAGATAATTCAACGATCTAGTGTTACATGAAAAAGGAAAAACCGAGATGAACGCTTAACCCCACCGTATGTATCGGCAGACAATGCCTCCTCAGGGACCCTGGCGTGTGCCTACCACCGCCTTGGGGTGCGGAAGCCCACCCCTGCGGCCCCCCGACAGAGCTCCATTCCCGAACCCAGAGGCCCAGATCCTTGTTGGACAACACGTCCTCAGCTTCCTCATGGGCCAGGCCTGAAAATCAGTACGTACTCATTAAAGCACCTGCTGGGTTAGCGGTCAAGTTCGACCAAAAGGCGGCACCTCCTCCAACACCTTCCAGCCACCCAGCACGTACACGTGGGGGGAGAGGGGGAGTGGTGTTACTTTTAGGCTTTATATAAAATCTTGACATAATCGCTAGTTTACAGATACCATTTATGTCTAAATTTGACTATCGATTAACTGTTTTTATAACAATATCAAATTCAATTATTATAGCAGTTTCAAGATCCAGCAACCCATACGGTCTTGGTGAGTCTGTGGCGAGCCCCACTCCCCATCCCTGCCAGCTCAAGAATCCTGTCACAGAATTTCCTCACCTATGGTGAAAACGTCACTCAGCCCAGGTGTTCACCTGCCGTAAGAATTCAAACTGAAAAAATTCTTTTCAAATGACCATAACCTCCTCCCCAAGAAGAAAGAAGAAAAGGTGCTGTTCAAGACACAGCCTGGCACACCCACCTACGTGGAATGACCAACATCCGTACGCGCCCCTGGGAAAGCATCCTGGCCCTTACGTGTGAACACTCAGCAGTGTAACACCAGCCACGTGCCACACACCGCGTTCCAGCCGCCCCACATGTCCCGCTGGTCCCGTGTGTATCCCATACTTTGATGCGCTGCTTAGAAAGCCCTCCCCCATCCCAGCAGTCCTGACTATGGGTCAAGTTGTCCGCCTCTCTCTGTCTCAGTTTCCCAACTGTAAAATGAAGATGTCACCAACTACTTTTATAGGGTAACTACAAATTACCGAAGTTTAAACTTTTTGGACAGGCATCTGGCAGCGCCTGGTACAGAAGTAGATGTCCCATAGATGTCCTCTTCCCCACTTCCTTTCACTCCCAAGAGGGGAAAAAAAAGTTACTCATGAGTCAGTGATGTTAATAAATGTCATCTGCTTCATGCAAAAACTAAGAAATAAGGAACCCGAAAAGCAGAAAAAACAAATGAGAGAGTGAGTCACCATCAAAAACACAGACCCTTCTCCTAGGTCTGGCTGAGTCCACAAATCGGCCCCTGGAGGTGTCAACACTGTGCTCCCCCAAAGCCTAAAGACAGGGCAGAACCATGAACCACAGGAAGTCTGGGAAGAGGATGTTAAGTGTGAGAAAGTGCAAACGGCCACAGACCGTTGTCATCTAACCTTTCTGGGTTTAAGAATCTTCGTTTGCAAAATAAAAAGGGCTGTCTCCTCAATGATTTTCAAAACCCCCCAGCTCCAAGTTCATCTGTTGGGGTTTCAAGTAAACCTTTGAATAAAATAAGGTTTTCGCCGCTAAATATGTTTTACAAATGAAAAGATTAGGTATTCTCTAAAGTCACTTCTAACTCAACATTCCACCATCCCCAATCGCTTTTATCAATACTTCTAAGTACATTATTATATTGACAGAAAACTCCAGCCAAGTCCAAGCCAACCAGCATATGTCAAGCAACGCGATGTGACCGTGAAGGATTATGGCTACAGAGCAAGGGTCGATGAATGAAACAGAATCTACTTCCTGACAGTTCTGAGTTAAAGTACAAAGCAGCAGACTGTCCCTTACTGTGGTAACGATGCCGTCGCTGACTGTGACAGAATGCACGGGTGGCACGGATTCAAGATTTTCTCTGTGGAGATGATCGGAGTACATTCTCACGTCTAGTCCACTAACTACAGAGGCAAGGAGCAATCTAGCGTGATGAGTGGCCTTTTAATTTACAAGTGTTTCGACACTAGAAATAACTGGTGAAAACCAACCAACGAGTCAAAATAAAACTTGCTGTACAATTTTCAGCGTCTTTAGAGGAGCTCTCAAACATAAGACATCCCTTCAAGATTTTGTTGAAGGCTGACAAACTCTATCATGTCAAATAATCATCAAGCACCCCAAGACTTACACTGAGCCTAGAACAAATCGATATCCAATAGTAACGGCTCTGAACAATTTTCCATCCCTACACTTGAGAAATATGATCCAACTAAAATTAACAATGCTTTATGAAATCAGTGATTCTTTACTGGGATAACAGGAAGAAATGGTGAGGTGCTCAGCGGAGACTTTTGGCTCTAAGGCTTTCATAGGCATCCGGATTCGTTTGTCTTTTGAATACATAACACACTTAAGAGGAAGAAAACGTCGTTTCCTGGCTGTACTGTCTCCATTTATGTAACTTAAAACAAAAGGTTATTTTTAGACTCAGTACCTATTACGACAGACTTCATCGTGAAGAAGCAGATACTCATGACACCCTGATGAAAACAAGCAAAAGGTGGATGAATTTCAAAATTAAAAAAAAATAATAATAATTTACTGAACTGGTGAGAAAATAAAGAAATCTGCAGGGGCCGAGAAAACGAAGTGCTGGGGACCCCGGGAGACGCGCTGCACGCCGAGGGCATGCGCCAGCTCTCGTGACCCTTAGCCTCTGTTCTGACAGCTGAATGGGACGGAGTCCAGGAAAAGCAGCGCTAAAACCTCACGCCCGCCCAAGGTGGGCAGGTCGACAGAGGACCCCAGCATGACGCAGGGATACCCCAAAGGGCTGTATCTTCGAAGCCAGAGGGAGAAAGAAACAACCCTACACTACAAAAGGAGACAGCGAGGGAACTGGCCTGACTTGACCTTGGCACTGGAAGAGGTGGGGCGATCGAAATCTTCCAAGTTTTCAAAACCTGTACAAGCTGGCCTTCGTGAAAATGTGTGATCCAAATTCCCACGAGTTGTATGATCTTTAAAAAAAAAAAAAAAAAAACCCAAGCAGAAAATGTAATTCAAAGAGATCCTGAGTTGACAGTGCCTCCCCGCCAACCCACAGCTAGCAGAATTACAAATTCTGCAAGACAGATTCGACCCGCCCCACAGAGTCTCCCCGTGAAGAGAATTCCAAGAGATTGAGTTCACAATCAAAAATCACACGCATACATAAAAACAGGAAAACCAAATACCATGAAGAAAAGCCAGCAGAAACACAGCGGAATTAGACTCAAAGATGTTAAATATCAGAACTACGAGACAGGACATAAAACAAACGCTTAGCGAGTGCCAAGAAACAACAAAAGCTTGATGAGGAGAACGAGACTCGAAAGCTTAAGCAGATTTTTGAAAAGAACCAAAGAAAACTTCTAAATATAAACATTACGATAACTGAAAGAAAAACTCAATGGTAACTATGGAGACAGTAAAAACTCGCTGACTGCCAGGGGTCGGGGCAGGGAGGGAGGAACAGGCAGAGCACAGAGGAGTTTTAGCGCAGTGACAATTCTCTGTACGAGACTGTGCTAATGGGGACACGTCTTTACGCCCGTGTCCCAACCCAGAGAACGCGCACCACCAAGAGCGAGCCCTAATGTGAACTCCTGGCTCTGGGCGATGGCGACGTGGCTGTCACTGTGGGCTCACCAGCTGTAACAAATGCCCGATGCTGGTGCGGGACGCTGACGCGCGGGGAGAGACGCATGCGTCCAGGCAGGAGACGAGCCAGAAACCTTTGTGCCTTCCTTCCACTCTGCTGTGACCTACAGCTGCTCCGAAGAAAAGCCTTAATAAAATCAATAAAGTCGTGGGGCGGTGGGGGGGACACGATGGCCGTGCCTATGAAAGAAGGTTCATACTGGGGACTATTTTTAAGCCAATATTCTTGCAACTATTGAAACTAACGTGTTATTAAAAGTAGGAAATGTTGTGGCTTTTATATTTGATCAAGATATAATTCACATGTAACTTTATATTAGTTTCGGGTATACGATAGAATGATTTGGTATATGTAGATTGCAATCCCATAAATCTGGTTAACATTCATTGCCACATACAAATTTTCTTCCTTGGCATGAGAACTTTTAAGATCTACTCTCTTAGCTACTTTCGACCATACTATATAGTATGATGAACTACAGTCAGCAAGCTGTGCCTTACGTCCTCAGGATTTATTATTTTTATAGCTGGAAGTTTGCAGCTTTTGGCCGCCAGGAAGTGGTGTTTTACGGCTGCAGAGAGACCATGGGGTACTAGAAATAGCAGTGAACTAGCAAAGCCGGTCCCTGTCATGCTGCTCTCTGGATGACCTGAGACAAAACCATTCTTACCTCGTATCTAGTGTATCCTATGCCCACGTTTCTAGCAACACGTGGATCTCCTGGCTCTTCTTTTTAAAAATACAGGACAAAATAAATGCGGCGTGAAGTCTACTAAAGGTCAGTTAACAAAATTCTGAATAAAAGTCGGGATATAGTATCGAATCCTCAGAAA